CGAGACTGGATCGAGCAAGATCGATTACATAGCCTTCCCTCAGGATATTGGTCCCTTGGTACGGCACTGCCAAGTGTTGCCTCGTTTAGGCGCAAAGTTGCAGGCGATGAAAGGCACGCCGCCGAGGGACCACATCCCCAGAGACGGAGGCGGGGATCGTAAGGTGGGATCACACTAAGATGATGGAGGCGGTGCGCACTGGAGCGGGCAGGGAACCCTTCTTGACTGACGTGCGCGCGGCAATGCAGACGCTCCCCATACATGCCTTTATTGACTGGGACTCGCCCGACACCATCTTCGAGGGAATCGAGAAGTGTATACATGATGAAGCCGCCAAACACTTCGGCGCCAAGCAGGGACATGGCGAGCCCTACACCTCCTACGCTGCAGAGCGACGACAGCTACTTCGGCGTAGAGTTGAGCTACGCGGACAGAAGCAGGATGCCACGGAGGAGGAGACTACCCAGATCGACACGCAGCTGAAGGTGGTCTCCAAACTGCTGGCGGCGAAGCGGCGGAAGTACCAGAGACAGCGTGTGGCGACGCTGATGGAGGAGGCGGACACGGCGTGGCACCGCAACCGCCAGGCGGAAGCTATGAAGGCTTGCAGGCTCGCCGCCCACAGCCGCTACGGCCCCAAGAAGCGGGACGGGCGCCTCTTCGCACCTGCGCCGCCGTCGGCGGCGGAGTGGCTGGACACATGGCAGAACGAGGGGCACAGAGGCGGAATGCAGGCCTACGAGATTGATTGGGAGACCTGGAGGGCGCAGCGGGAGGGGATTCAATATGACGACGTGGAGGATGAGGAGATTGCCGAGCTGGTCAAGAGCGACATCAAGAGCATCAGGCGCTACTTGTGTCGCGCCGCTAAGCGGCGTGCGGTGCCACCTGGTACTCTACCGTGCGAGATCTGGCTGATGACACTGCTGCCGAACTACTGTATGAGCCAGAAGAGAGGCCTCGGCAATCCGACCATCCCGCCCATGGACTCGCTGTACTCCCTGCTGGCCCTGGGCCTCTCGAAGATGAGACACTACGACTGCGTCCCCTTGTACTGGCAGTGGTCTCGAGGAGCTGGATTACTGAAGAATTCTACGCCATGCCCGAAGGGCCGCCGAGTCATTCACATTTTGCCATCGATTGGAAAAGCTTTTTTCGCCACTCGCCTGAAGGTGGAGCCTACGAACATGGAGCACGGCTTTCACCGCCACCGCCGACGTGAGGAGGCGATTCTCACCATAAATGTTTTGAGCTGGCGCCTTCGCCAGTGCGGGCGCACGCATTGCGTGTGCTTTAAAGATATGACGAATGCCTTCGCGTCCACGCGTTGGCAAGATATGGAGTCGGCGGTGGAGAGGGGGGTGGCGGCGGAGGATCGATCGCTATGCGTTCAGCGTTTCAAACACAGTGTAGTAACCTTGCATGGCGAGGACCGTGTAATCAACTTAAAAACCACCCAGGGTGGAACCATGGGGGACCCTTTTATCGTCAAATGTTTTGTTGATTGCTTCAGGTGGCCGGTGCTGGCCTGGCTGAGATCTATGAATGAAGTCGACCCTCAGGCCCGAGCCCTTGTAGCAACATGGGGTCCCTGGAGTGCCGAAGGGAGTTTAGCTAAGTTTGCTGATGATATGTGTAAAGTAGTAGTTGCATCGCCGTGCGCCACCTTTAAGGATTTTTTGCAGCTGCTTCGCAGCGTGGACGAGAAACTGGATGAGACGCTCGCCACGGCTGGATTCGCTCAAAATCTTGGCAAGCAGGAGTTTCTCTTCTACTTCTGCCAAAATCGGGACAGGTTTAAACAACTCTTAAGGAGGCCGCGTGACCATGGACTGGAAGGGACACCCAAAGATAAATGTAGGTACCTCGGACCCTATTTGATGCAGCGGAGTACATGTCACCATGAGATTGAACATAGAATTCGAGCCACACGTAGCAGTTTTTGTTCACTGGGAGGCGTCTGGAGCCTCGCTGGGATTCCATACCGCATGCGCCGCTGTCTGTTGCAGGCCTTTGTAGTAAACACCCTCTACACAGGGCTGGAGGGATTTGCTCCATCGAGGGCTGACTGTGGCACGCTGGACAAAGCTTTAGCAGGACATTGTAAGGTGGCCATGCTTGGTGAAGCCACCTCGTGGGACGGAGCTCACCCAAAAACTTTGACCACGGTGCAGTTGCTTCGTCACTGGAGGTTTGGAGATAGTTGGCTTGAGTTGCGCTTGAGACGTCTTCATATGTATAAGAGCTGGGCTGCAGAGCCCCAGCGACATTTACAAGTTTTGTGTGTGCTTTTCGGTGACATCCCTGCGTGTTCGAGGTACCCCCAGGTCCAAGACGGTCGCCCGACAGAGCATGCCTCCCCTTTTGTTTGGCAGGTTGTTCGTGACCTAGAGTTTGCAGCAGAAAAGCTGGACTACAGTGCCTTGGAAGCCTTCGCGTCCGATCTAAACACGTTCCAGGACAGCGAGGCGTGCGAAGATTTCTGCCGAATCGACTTTCATGAAATTCGTCAGCAACAGTACACGGTCTGTATTCCTCCTCCTGGCCTGGGTCCCTCTTCCTTCGCCCCTCCTCCCGCGGGTATGTCTGCTGCTGCGGCTGCTTCTCCTCCTCCTCCTCCTCCCCCTCCCCAGGCCGAGGAGACGGGTGCTTTTCGCTGTTGGGTTGTGAATGAGGGGTCCCATTGCGATTGCAGCTTTCCGACAAAGAAGGGACTCCTCAACCACCTCAGATTTGCCCATCATGTGCGAAATCTTGCATCGGTTTTAACGCGTACGAGCGCTTGCATTTGCTGTAAACAGGTTTTTTCCAGTCGTGAGACGGCTTATCGCCACTTGCAGGGATCCCTAAAACGGCGACGCTGTATCACTAAAGGCCCCTCGGCCTTGGTCCCTGAGCTGACCCCTGGAAGTTTAGACTGTCCGTGCTGTGAATTTTCGGCGCAAGACTTTGAGGAATTGTGTGGACATCTGAGACAGCACTTACCCTGGCGCGTCTCTGAACGACCGCTCCCTGCAGCAGGAGGCCGCCATGCCAGGCGACGCGGGGATGCTGCTGCCCGAGTGGTGCAGCCCACCGAAGAGCGGGACGGCGGGGCAGGCTCCAAGGAGGCGGCGGCCGGCGACGGCGGCAAGGCCGGAGGCAAAGGGGAAAGAAGGCGGGCCGAGGCAGAAGAAGGGCCGCACGGGCAACAATGGGGCTCCAGGAGGCGTGCGCCAAGCTGCTGCTGATCACGGCAAGGGAGCTGGCAGAGGTGGGCGCGTGCGTGTTCCACAGGTGGTTCGTTCCCGCCGCCATGGGGATCGAGGAGATGAAGCAGGAGGCTCAGAACGGCGAGAACCCCGACTTCCGCGGGAGAGGCGCCCCTCACCTACACGTGTGCATGGCCATGGTCATATACTGCGCGGCGCTGGGTCAGACGGACAACAAAGACCTAGCCGACGCAGTGGCGGAAATCCTCGAGCGTCTCAACAACAGCATCAGCAAGATGAGCCTGCAGAACCTCGGCAGGATCGTGAAGTACTGCCGCGTGAAAGTACAGACGAAGAAGGACGGCGAGACCCCGATGGCGACCATCTACCTGAGCATCGACCGCCACAATCCTCACGGAGCGCGGCTGTTCGAGACGCTGTCCACGGTGATCGAGGCGGAGAAGGGCGAGTACACGAGCGGGCCTCAGCCTCGGGGCCCGCTGGAGAGGGAGATCTCGCGGATGTTGGAGTCGGCGTAGAAGTGAATGGCCGCAGCAGTGGAGTGACAGCCAACCGATCTTTTGCCACGCAGGTCCCGTGGGCACTGGCGCAGAGTGAAAGGTTGGCCTCACTGATTGAGCGAGGTGTTGTCAGTAGTGAGTCTGTGCACCGCTCGAGCGGTACTTCTGTGGCTCAAGGATATGCGTCCTCTGAGCTACCCTCCATACCAGTTTTGTTGCTGTCGAGGCAGCCAGTATCCAGAGGAAAGGGTCGGGGTGGGAGGCGTGGGAGCGGGTCGGGCCGTGGGAGGAAAGGTATAGGCAAGCCTGGTGCCCTTTGAGCTGGGAGCCCCGCTCTGGGGCTGCGTGCCTCGGGGGGGCCCCCCCAGCCTGGGCCAACGCTGCCTCTGTGCAGAGAGTGGCCGCATCCGCTCTCACCATCTTTACTGCTGTCGGCTGTGTAGCAGCCTGCCCAGAATTCTAAGCGATGCTGTATCGTGGACTGCAGAGGACTCCATGGGTGCTTGTCTTGTCTTGTCTTGTCGTCGTCATCATCATCATCAGCAGCATCAGCAGCATCATCAGCATCATCATCACCATCAGCATCATCATCATAATCATCATCATCACCATCATCATCATCACCATCATCATCACCATCGTCATCACCATCATCATCACCATCATCATCATCATCATCAACATCATCGTCATCATCAGCTACATCATCATCAGCAGCAGCATAATCATCATCAACACCATCATCATCACCACCATCATCATCAGTACAGTTGCATCATCACCACCATCATCATAAGCATCATCGTAATCAACATCACCATCATCAGTATCATCATCATCAGCATCATCCACATCATCAGCATTATCACCATCACTATCGTCATCACTGTCACCACTGTCATCATCCTCGCCATCATCATAGAGGAGGAGGAGGAGGAGGAGGAGGAGGAGGAGGAGGAGGAGGAGGAGGAGGAGGAGGAGGAGGAGGAGGTGGATGGGGGTCCTCGGCGCGGTGAAAACAAAAAACAATAACCACATCCTTAGGACATGCGGAATTAACGACGAAACAAACAACGAACCAGGGCTGAGGCGAGGTTGAGGCTTGGGCTGATGCCCAGGGCTGCGGCGAGAGCTCGGGGCCAGGGCTAGGGGGAGGTTATGGCTGGGGATTGAACCGAACAAAGCAACAGAGAGTTCCTGGTGGCTGCGCGATTGAGGTGGGGGGGGGGGTCGAGGAAGAGGGGATCGAGGATGAGAAATCAAGGAGGGGGCACGAGGAGGAGGCATCCTTCCTTGCCTCTTCGTCATCGCGGTCGGTCTGGACCAGCTTCTGCTCCAAGGAGGCCACCCTTTGCTGCATCTTTATCTGAAGCGCCTCTGCGAGGAGGAAGAAGAGGACGGGAGCCAAACATCCTAATCTAGCCTTGTCCCATGTGGGAATCTTGCTCACCCCCCAGAAGGCCCTGAATACGGCTCGGCGGCGACATGCTGGGGCAGAAAGTGTGAAAGGTCCACGCTTCTCGGCTCACCCTGGTTTCCGTTTGCATTCGGCGGGAGGCCACCTTGGTATTTCCCCCCGGTGGGCTCTGGCGGGTGGCTTCGGCGCTCGCCTCATTCCCCTCCTCCTCCTCCTCCTCCCCCTCCTCCTCCTCCCCCTCCTCCTCCTCCCGCTCCTCGATTCATCCCTCTCCTCGCGAGCTCTAGCTTCTGATTCGTGCGTGGCCGTCCTCATCAGGGCAGGGGATGGTCCAAGCAAGAGCGAAGTGCGGGCCATGCCTGGAAGACAAAGTCGCAAACATCGACAATCATAGACCCAACTTCGAGCAAATACGGCTACGCCTCTGAAATTGGTTTACATGGCCAGGTCTAAGAACATGTATGTTCCACAGGCGCCAAGTGTTGGTGATTGAAGAGATTGAATATTTCATATCTCCAGCCATCCTGTGGTGATCCTCGTTTTAGATTCGCAGCGCCCCGCGTCCTCCTCCTCCTCCTCTTCTCCTCCCCCCCTCTGCTTCTGCCTTCTGCATGTTTTTGCTTCGGCACACCGCTCACACGCTTCGTAGCCCCATATGAGCCCCATAGAAAGCCCAAATGGCAGGATTCGTGGGCATAACCACGCCCATTTTGGCAAATCCTTCACACGCTTCGTGGCCCCATGAGAGCTCCATGGACGGCCTAAATGGCAGGGTGCGTGTGCTTGACTGCGCCCCTTCTGGCACACCCCTCACCAGCCTCGTGGCCACGTAAGAGCTTCACAGAAGGTTCAAATGGTCGGGTTCGTATGCACGACCCCGCCCCTTCTGGCACACCCCTCACCAGCCTCGTGGCCACGTAAGAGCTTCACAGAAGGTTCAAATGGTCGGGTTCGTATGCACGACCCCGCCCCTTCTGGCACACCCCTCGCACGCTTCGTGGCCACAGAGAATTTCCACAGACGGCCCAGATGGCAGGGCTCGTATGCCTGACTCCGCCCATGTCGCTTTCCCCTGCCACGTTTCTGCCGCGCCCCTCACACGCCTCGTGGCCCATAGGAGCTCCACAGAAGACCCAACAGCAGGGCTCGTGTGCCTGACCACGCGCATCGTGGCCCGCCCCATCACACGTGTGGCAGCCCACGAGGATCCCCACAGAAGGCTCGCGTGGCAGGGGTCGTATGCCCGACCACGCCAACTCTGGCACACCTCTCGTACGCTTCGTGTCCCCACAGGAGCTCCACGGACGGCCCATATGGTAGGGCGCATGTGCCCGACCCGCCCATGTCGCCTGCCCCTGCCACGCTCGCCAGGCCCCGCAGGAGCTCCGCAGAAGGCACAAATGGGAGGGCTCGCCGTATGCCTGACCACGCCGATTCTGGCACCCCTCACACGCTTCGTGGGCCCAGAGGAGCTCCACATGATGCCCACACTGTGAGGTTGTATGCCCGATCTCGCCCCTTCTGGTACACCGCTCGCACGCTTCGTGTCCCAATAGGAGCCCCATAGACAGCCCAACTGGCAGGACTCGTCAGACCATACCCATTCTGGCACAACCTTCGCACGTTTCGTGCCCCCCCACGAGCCCCGCAGAAATCCTAGATGGCAGGGCCGGGGTGCCTGACGACGCACATTCAGGCACGCCCATCACACATTATGTACGTCACAGAAGGCCGAAATGGCAGGGCTCGTGCGCCCGACCGCGCCCGCTCTGGCACACCCCTCGCACGCCTTGTGGCCTCAGAGAGCTTTGCAAAAAGGCCCAAACTGCAGGACTCGTGTGCCTGACCACGCCGATTCAGGCCCACCCCTCGCACGTTCCGTGGCCCAATCGGAGCTCCGCAGAGGCCCACGTGGCAGGGCTCGTATGCCTACCACGCCCCTTCTGCCAGAACACTCACACGTCCCGTTGCCCAATAGGGAAGGGACCCCGTGGAAAAGCCAAATGGCAGGGATCGTCAGACCATACCCATTCCGGCACACCCCTTCGCACGTTTCGTTGCTCCACAGGGGCTCCGCAGATAGCCAAAGTGGCAGGGCTCGTGTGCCTCACCACGCCCATTTCGCTCGCCCCTGCAACGCTTGCCAGGCCCCGTGCGAGCTCCACCAAAGGCCCCAATGGGTGCGTCCACATGTGGCCTCCGCCCATTCGCTTGCCCCTGCTGCGTCAGTCTGGCCCCATATGAGCTCCACCTGAGGCCCCAATGGGTGCGTCCACAGCTGCCCCCGCCCAGCTAGCTCGCCGCTGCCGCGTTCTCTGGGCCCCCCTACGGGGCTCCACCTGAGGCCCCAGTGGGTGCGTCCACATGCGGGCCCCGCCCACGTCGCATGACCCTGCCGCGTTTTCGGGCACCTCTAAGGCCCCTGCGTGCCGCCCACTTCCCTCCCCCCTGCCACGTTGCTGAACCCCCATAGGAGAGCTCCAGTGGCGGCCGCCTGGCGGCCTCCCGCCCGCCTTGCCCGCCCCTGCCGAGTTTTCCAGGCCCCCATCGGGAGCACCTGCGGCCTCAGTGGCGGTGGCCGCACTGCGCCCTCCGCACTTCGCCCGCCACTGCCACGATTTTGGGCCCCCATAGGGAGTTCCACCGGAGGAGGAGGAGGAGGAGGAGGAGGAGGAGGAGGAGGAGGAGGAGGTGGAGGAGAAGGAGGAGGAGGAGGACAAGGCCCCAAAGGCGGTGTTCGTATGGCGCCTCCCCCCACCTTGCCCACCCCTGGCACGTTTCTTGGCTCCCACACGGAGCTCCACCTGCCTGCCCCAGCGGCAGGGTTCGCATGGCGCCTCCCCCTTCTTCGGCGCACCCCTTTTCGAAACCGTGGCCACATCATCGGGGAACTACTGACCCGTGGCCCGGGTCCATCCAAACCTTGCAAGATCCTGCAAGATCCTGCAGGATCCTGCAGGTGCAGGATCCTGGATCCTGCACGCAAGCCCCGGTCAGTGCAAGATCTGGTGCTCTGGCTGACCCCCGTTTGCATTGACCCCCGTCTCTTGAGCCCCGACATCAGAAACTCCGCCTCCGGCCCAGGTGGCATTGTTCGCATGGCGGCGCACCCCTGGCAAACATCGTGGTCCCATAGGCAGCTCCAATACTGCCCCAGTGGCATGGTTCGCATGCCGCCCTCCTGCAGGGAGCTCCACTTCCGGCCCCAATGAGTGAGTGCGCATGCGTGCCCATGCCCGATTCAGCACGCCCCTCACGCGGAGACGTGTCCCCCCATAGGGAGCTCACCGCGCTTCTGCGCGTTTGCTCGCAGCCCCTTATCCACGCTGCCCCGCGGCGCGCAGTGTGTGAAGAGAGGTCCAAGCCCTGCGCTACACGCAGCTGCGCACGGTTGGGCTTTTCGCATGGCTACTTCTATTGATGGGGTGCGCTTATAGAGGGCGGCTGCTTGAGGACTCATCAGCACAGAACATCGGCATCATGCTGGGCACCTGCACTTGAGAAGTACGGCCTGAGGTAAGTGGATTTTGGGCTGGCAAAATTGCGCCAATTGTCCAAGCATGTCGCAACCACCCACTTGTCAACTGCCAAGTCGTCCGTCACTTGGGCCGAACAAGCGGTACTCCGTGTCTGATCTCTTACAACTTGGCCGATCCATGCACAAAGCTATGATGCTCCAAGCAGCGAGCGACTTTGCCTCTCAAGGCGGCGAGCCCCAGGGGGAGGTCCGAGGAGGCGGGCCTTCTCAGAAGGCTCGGGAGGCTTCTGGCCTCCTGACAAGTTTCCTAAGCCTTCCCTGAAACACGCAGGAGCCTTATCAGACGGCGCGAAGGCTTCTGAGAAGCCCCTGCCTTCTGAGAAGGCCTTGTTCCCTCTCCCCCCCCCCCCTGGCGCGCCACCGAATCAAGCAGAGTGTGCGTTCGCGCTCCCGATGGCACTCCTCCCTCCTCCCTCCTCCCTCCTCCCTCCTCCCTCCTCCCTCCTGCACCTTGCGCAAGCCCTCCGGATCGTCTTGATACGCCGCCCTCAGCCGACTGAGCTCATCCGGGGAGTCCCACAGCTGCGCGGGGGCCAAGTGGCTCAGCGGTCGCCTGAGGCCAGTGGCGAGGATCGCCTCGTCCATGGCCTGGGAGGCAGAGGAAGGCGAGGAGAAAAGCGCAGGGGCCAGCCCCTGCACCGCAACCAAACTAAATCAGACACCGTGTCTTCAGCACGCAGTGGAGTGTCTCAAGGCTTATGCAGATGCGAGTGTTAGAGGAGTAGCAGCATTCTTGAGGGCCAATACCCTTCCAAGCAACGCCTCAAAAGGCTCAGGAGCTTCCGATTGCCTCCAGCAGCCATCATGGGGCTCTATTGGGGGCCTGGGAGCGGCCAAGTAGGCCAACACCATATAACATTACTAAGATGTTGTATGATTTTCGTATGCGCGGCTTCGTGCTTTTCTCAGATCGCTCAAGACGGCCAAACGTGCCCCGAAATTCCGCCCTAGAGGGCCTCCGAGCCCCCTCAGACGGTCCCGTGAGGCTTCTGAGAGGCCCCCAGGAGGGCCTCAAGAGATCTGAACTTCGAGCGCTTGACCTCAACATAGGCCCCGCGACAGCCAGCAGTCCCCCAACAGGCCCCCAGGACTGCTCCAAGAGAACCCCAATAGGCCAATAGGCCCCCAAAGAAGATTCCAAAAGACCTCAGGAGGTATCTGAGAGGTCTTTTGTTCACGACCCAGACGCGGTGACGGGATAGGCCGACTGCCAATAGACCCGCCACCCCCTTCTGCTTGCAGATGAGTGCTCGGCGTGCTTGGAGTTCTTGGCGTGCTGGCGTTCCAGAAGGTTGCCCGAGGGTATCGGCCCGTCCAGCTGGCCACGCGGAAGGCCGCGTGGAGCAACTCATGCCACTGGCTTTCCCGCCCACGATGGTCTCTAGAGGGCCTCCAAGACAGCACAGATGGACTCCGAAACCGTTCAAAGCTGCCTCCACGACGGCGAAGATGGCTCCAAGAGGGCCCAAGACGCATCCAAGACGGCCACATATGGCCACAACACGCCTGCCAACAGCATCCGCCAATGCGTACCAAGAGGGCTCCAAGATCTCCTCCAGGAGCCACAAGACCTGTCAACACAACCTTTGGTTTACGTTTTCAGTTTTCGCCCTTTCGGGCTTCCGCCAGCCCAATCAGACAATCCGAAAAGCACCCAAGAGGACCCCACGGCGGGCCAAAAGGACCCCAAGGCGGTCCGTGCCCCCAAGATGGCCCACGACAGCCCCAAAACGGCCCGAGAGGCTTTCACGACGGCCCCAAAGCGCCCCGAGAGGGCCCAGAGACGGCCCAGAGATGCCCCCAAGACGGCCTCCGAAAGCGTCAGACGGGCCAAAAGATCCCTCAGGCGGCCCACGAGGCCGCCGAGACGGGCCCCAGTCCCCCAAGACGCCCCCAAGACCCCTCACAGAGGCCCCCAAGAGCCTCCTCAAGAAGTTTCTAGGGATGGTCTGGGATGGCCTCCAAGACGAGGACCTCCAGGAGGCTTCCAGGAGGCAAACACTGTTGACGTTCCTCATCTGTTTTCGAAGGTGTCCGACTTCTCGACTTTTGGGGCTTCCCAAAACGGCCCCCCAAGGTCGCCCCAAATGGCCCAAGCGGCTCCCAGGAAGGACCCAAAGAAAAGATGGCCCTGGCAACCCCAAGACGGCCCAAGATGGCCCCAAGATGGCCCCAAGATGGCGTAAGAGTCCCCCAAGACTTCAAAAGCACCAAGATGCCTCAACTACCCAAAAAGGGCCCCAAGATGGTCTCCGAATGCGCCAGACGGCTCGAGAACACCCTAAGACGGCCCCAAGGTGGCCCGAGGGAATCCCCAGAGGCCTCCGGGAAGCACCACATGGCCGGAAAAGAGCCCCAAGAGAGCTCCAAGATGATCCCAGAGGGCCCCTCCCCAGAGTTCCCTCCCAGCGTTAGTCCTGTAGCGCCAGAGGAAACGCTGTCCACCAGCATGGCCGCAACTTCGGTCGACAGGAAGGCATGCGTCGGAGGCGTCTTCGACACCACGGAGAGCGTGCAGCTTATGGGGCGGCTACCTTCCCCCTTTGTGCCACCGGGCGCCTCTGCACATCAATGGTCGAGGGAACTCGCCTGCGGGGTTGTTCCTGGATGGGCTGGTGGAGATACTCGAGGGTCCCAAACCCGTCTGGTGACAGACCGTGCGTTGGCATCGAGATCCCAAGGACCTCACCGCACAGTCAGTGACCAGGCGTTCCTGGAACCCTCTGGGCCCCAGGCACTCGAGACACCTTCGAGGACCGACCCGGAGCCCAAACCTTTGACCCGTCGGACGATGTGGTCACCGCACCGGCTGGGGGCCTCCGAGGCACGCCGAGCGCCAGGAGCTTGGACCCCCCGCGGGCCTCCGCCCGCGAGCCCTGCACCAGCGGCGGCCCCAGGGCCTGCACCGTGCAGGGGCGCCAGACGGCGAGTGGCGCCAGCGCCAGCAGCACGCGCACCATTCCGGAGCACGGCGGATAGCCGGAGACCCCGGCCGTCGTGGGCGAAGCACGCGTGCATCCGCGGCCTCGCGGGCCGGGCCCGCGGGCCGCGACCCCGCGGATACGGGGCGCTGTGTCGCGAGTGCCCCGAGCGAGGCGTGCCCGTGCGACCGCGCATCCGCGGGACCGCGCCCCGGAATCCAGACGGCGAGGGCGCGGATACGGATGCGCTCGCCGCTCGTGATGCCTGGCGAATCGATCCAGTTCCATCCTCCCCGTCCCGGGAGGCCGCCCCGCATCGCCGATATCCTGGCGATGTCGTGGCCGAGAGAGTCGGGCTTGGGGCCGCGCCGCATCGGCTGCCTCGGCGATGCGGCGCGATCCGCCGACCCCCATCCCTGAGGGGCCCTGGCTTTGGCTGCCTGGAGCCCCTCGATCTCTGAGAGGGGACGTTCGGGGGCAACCAGCTCCGGGGGAGAAACATCGGGCTGGAATCAGCTACACATCACCGACAGATCGGCGACAGGCCCCCAATGGCAGATCCGCTCGCTCCCGGGCGGGGTGGACCCTCGGGCCCCTTCTGGCGATGACTGTGCGATTGGGGGTCGATGCGCCCCCCCTTGCTGAGGAAGTCCTCCCGGTCGTTGCCTCCTGGGATCCTGGTCCTGACGCAAATCCCTGGCAGCCGTTCGGGACGATCCGGGCACCTCAAAGCTCTCGGCGAGGTGCAACTGCTGGCGCGCATCCCGAATCACCGAACGCGCCTGAGAGCTCCATTGTCATGGCCGGTGAGGGCCCAGGGAGGCTGGTTTCGCAGTGATTCGAGATTCCCCATCATGGCTCGCAGGCCGAAGGCCCGCGTGTTCTGGGAAACCTAGAATTATTACGAAACCCCTCCGTTTCGTGCTGCTTCCAGGCCCCCCAGAAGCCGGAGCTAGCGGAAACCCATCGCCGCACGACTGCGGGGAGGCGGCCTGCACCAAAAGGGCTGCCGGGGTCTCCTGAGAGTATGTATATACACGGTATACCGCGGGCGGGCGCTCCGCGGAGGAGGCCTCCTGAGCAGCACCCGGAGCACCGGCGGCAGAGGGCGGGGGCGGGGGGAGGAGGAGGAGGAGGAGGAGAGGAGGAGGAGGAGGAGGAGGAGGAGGAGGAGGAGGAGGAGGAGGAGGAGGAGGAGGAGGAGGAGGAGGAGGAGGAGGAGGGGGAGGAGGAGGAGGAGAGGAGGAGGAGGAGGAGGAGGAGGAGGAGGAGGAGGAGGAGGAGGAGAGAGGAGGAGGAGGAGGAGGAGGAGAGGAGGAGGAGGAGGAGGAGGAGGAGGAGGAGGAGGAGGAGGAGGAGGAGGGAGGAGGAGGAGGAGGAGGAGGAGGAGGAGGAGAGGAGGAGGAGGAGGAGGAGGAGGAGGAGGAGGAGGAGGAGGAGGAGGAGGGGGGGGGCGATCGTCGAGCCTGGGCGGCCCCGCCGCACAGCCCGCGCGCGGGGGAGCAGGGAGGAGCCCTCGTGGGGGCTTCTTCGGACTCTGTGTGCGTGTGCGTATCTCTGGTGGGAGGAGGTGCGCTCTCGACCCGCGAATCAAAAAAGCGTGTCTTTGGTGGTGGAGGGAGGGGGGGAAGGTAGGGGGCCACATGCGAACCCTGCCCCTACCCCCGACGATTTCTGAGGGGGAGGGTGGGGTTCCCTTCGCTCGGGTGGTCCCCTAGGAGGGGGAGAAGGAGGAGCGGGGGGGGCGATCGTCGAGCTTGGGCGGTTCTGCAGTCAAGCCGTACAGTGAGGACGCACGATAAGCAAGCCTTCGAAGGCCGGGGCGCGGCCCGGGAAAGTGGGCAGGGATGCGCCGAAGGAGAAGCATGCAAGGGTAAGCTTGGGAAATCGCTCATCCTTGCTGTGCAGGTTGGCCGTAACTGGGGGTGCTCTCTTGCTAAGGGCGCACAGGGGCAACACAGTGCCACAAGTTACAACGCAGTGGAATCCAACACAACTAACCAACGAGCGCCCATACATAAATCATTCATGGCATGGCATTGCGTAGCATGTCGGTACCAAGCATAACATCGCTTGACATACCATGGTATGGCAATGGTCCGCCAACCTTCGGCTTGTGGAAGACGCTGTCGTCTTCGTCGTCGTCAGTCAAAAGGACATTGAGGAATAAGGACAAGGAACGTCGTAGTCAAGACGAAGGGAAGCCCCGTCCCTTCATCCATTCCCTGTTGGAGGGGGGGGGATGGGGGATGGGGACGGGGAGTGGCGGTGAGAGGCGTTGAGGGGGGGTCCTGGGTCAGAATGCCAAACCCCCCCCCCGGGGTCCCAGAAGCAGAACAATGCAGCACGAACGGAAGGAACGTGGAGGAACCCTGGGCAACCCCACGGCACTGACGATGAGCCCTGGGGTCCCCACGAGAAACCCTCAGGGACCCCCCATGAACCCATGAGGGACTCCCCAGGACCTTTCGGGTGCGCACATGATTGCTACTGGCCTTCTTGCAGGCCCACGCGCGAATGCTCAAGAGGGTTCCGAAATGCGACAAGACCAGAAGACGGGAATACTTCGGCAGGGATGAGGGAAGGCGGCGGAAGAGTACCGTTGGCAGGAGGCCTGGCGTGATTTGTGGGACTAGGCTGCAAACAGGGGTGAAGGGGGAGGAGGAGGAGGAAAGCGATGGCCACATGCTGAAACATGTACCGCCATTCCTCAGTGTACCTGCTGCGGGAATATAGATTCCTGAACGTGACATTGCATGGCATTCCCAAAACGAGGAGTCCCATTTTGAAGCGGCATCGCCCTCCATCTGTGCAGCCGCTCTGAATTTTGACACCAACTCTGCGCGACGCTGGGGGTTCTAAACGATTCGCCCTCCCTCCGTCCAACCTCCAGGTGCATGTTGAGCAGGGACCGACCGTCCCGGCATTCCTATAGTCCTACCACGAAATGTTCATAGAACCCAGAAGTGTTCGAATCACAAAAACAATGTTCTTAGAACATAAACACCGTGTGTTAAAACAAAACAATATCCGCCAGAAATGTTCTTACAACATTTCGTGGAAACCACAAACGGTTCTTAGAACATTGTTTGGTAGGGCTTCAGGCGAACCAGGACGCTTCGCCACTGCTTGAGCATGGCCGCTGGCGATGAGGAAAAACCTCTGGCGGAACGCCCGGCCCGCCCTGCCGACACGCCAAGGGTGGTGAGACGAGGACGAGCTGCCCAAACGGAAGAGGCCGACGACGACGACGACGACGACGCCGACGACGACGACGACGCAGACACGACGCCGTCGTCGACGTCGACTGTGGCGGCGGGCGGGCAGATGTGCCAGAAGTGGGCGGCGGCACGGAGGCGGGCGTTGCTAGAAGTGTCCCTGGCCCAAGGTGCCCCCCAGGATTTCCAAGGAGGCCCCCACGGCCTCCAGGGCACGCCTCACTAGGCCCAGGGGGCTCCAGAATGGAGCGAAAAGCTGGGGGCACCTTGGGCCAGGAGCACCTTTGGCAACCCCCGACAGGGAGCGAAAGTGGGGCAACAATGATGCCCTGATGAGATTGGCTCCGGATGCGTTCCAGAATTTCCAAGGAGTATATCTAGCGGCGCAGCCGGTGCGGAGCATTGTGATCTTGTTCGGCGTTTCGACGTTGGGCGGAATGGGGAGGGAGGGGGGGGGGTGCTCTGGCTCTCTGCTTAATGCGACTGTTTGCAGCAGTGCGTCCTATGGGGGAGACTCCACCTGCTTGAACAGGCGCCAAAAACAGACGAGATCTACTCCGTGTACGGGGGGAAGGGGGGTGCGAGGGCCCGCGCCGATCGGCAAAACAATACATAAGAGGACGATCACACTAGCACATGTGGAAAACTCTGGGAAGTCTTAGAAATCCTGGAACGTATCATCATCATGACCTCTTGCTCCTCAGAGAGAGAGAGAGAGAGAGAGAGAGAGGGAGAGGGAGAGAGAGAGAGAGAGAAAGAAAAAGAAAGAGAGAGAGAGAGAGAGAGAGAGAAAGTCGGCTACGCGCAAGAGTGACCCTAGGCAAGAGTGACCTTTGGTGCGCGGATTCCGTGGACGCAAGGGGGCCAAACCAATCAGCCGCCATCGCGCCGCGCCCAGCGATCGGGGGGACCCCGACGAGCCCACGCCGCGCCGAAGGTCACTCCAGCGAAGCGTCACCATTACTTGTTGTCGCGAGAGGGAGAGAGAGAGAGAGAGAGAGAGAGAGACAGACAGACAGACAGACAGACAGACAGACAGACAGACAGACAGAGAAAGAGGCAAAGCGAACGAAATCAAGAAACAAAGAAAGACATCACTGACGAACGAAAGAGAGACACAACGGAAAACACACAAAGACACAAGGAAAGAAACAAATACGCCACGAACGACAGAACAACACACCACGAAAGACCACGCGCCACCCTCGGCTCCCGGGGCCCGGCCCCCCCAAAACAGGGCCGCGCGGCGGCGCCTGGCCCCGGCAGCCCGGCCACCTCTTCCTCGCCCCGCCGTGGCGCCAGCGAGCGCCGGTCCGCCGTGGCGTCTTCGGCGGCACGGGCCGCGGGGGCCTGCCCAGCTGCGCCGAGGATCCCCTGGGCGTCGAGAGGCCCCCTGGCCCAGCGTTCTGTCAGGCGGACGTAAGACCTGGGCACGGGGGACTCGGAAATCCCCGACGAGGTCGCCCAAAAAATGACGAGGCCGAGCCTGCATTTTGACGAGGCCTCCCGCTGCAGACATCCCACGAAACTCCTCCTCGTCAAAATCCGAGGCGCGGTCGTCAAAAAACGATGGCGAACCCGAGTCCTGGCAAACCCGGGTCTTACGCTCCCCCGATTCTGGGACGGACTCTGACCGGCGTGGCTGCTGCCTCTGGCCTTCTTTGTCTCAGAGCCGTCGGCACGCATCCGGCGCGTCTCGGCCTCCTCGTCCGGAGTCGGCTGTGGTGGCGCGGCGAGTGGAGCTGGGATCGTGGAGTGGCCCCCAGCTTCTCGCTCCATTTTGGTGCCGCCTGGGCCCCTCAAGGCCTCGTGAGAGGCGCTCTGGAGACCGTGGGGGCCTCCCTGGAAATCCTGGCGGCACCTTGTGCCAGGGGCACTTCTAGCAACATCCGAACAGGGGCTAGCAGCGGAGCTAAAGGAGGAGCACTGCAAAAAATGCAAAAGGCCCTCGAAGCCCGAAGCCTCGAAGCCAGAGCCCGTCCCTTCAGAGCCGACGCTGCAAAAAAAGGGTGCAACATCGAGAGAAATCGCGACTGGAGCCCCCGACCCCGTCTTTCTGCCTCATCTTTTGATCTGCGAGGGTCCCAAGGCCCGAAATCAAGCGAAACCACCCGGTGTGAAAAAATGCAGAAAGCCCGGCGCTCAGAGGAGGACGGGCAGGGTTCGGGGGCGAGCCCATGGAGGTAGCGAGACGGGAAAGGCTTCTCAGAAGGCGGCGGAGCTTCTCAGAAGCCCCCCTCGCGCCTTCTGAGAAGTTTCCTGTCTTCGGGGGAGGCTCAGACAACTTCTTAGAAGGCCCTCGCCCAGACATGCGGTGTCTTTATTTTGTCAATACGGCCCCCCCGGAAACCCCCACCCTTTACCCAAGGCCAGTTCTGTGTGACGACTGACTTTCGACGGCCCCGGGGCCTGGCGAGGGCCTCCAGAGGTCGAAGACGACGAAAAACCTCCGTCCTGCTTTGTTCAAGACCCGAGCATGCCTGCCGTGGTCTTCCGAGTCTTCTGATGAGGCCCGCCCGCTCTCACTTCCCCCGTGGGCTCGCCGCCGACGAGCGCCAGGGACGCGCCAGGGCAGCCCGCGGGGAGGCTGCGGGCACGAGCGCGCCCAGCGGGCCTCTTCCCGAGGGGCGCGCCGGCCGCTTTGGCGGGGCCACCGCGGGGAATCGCGCCGCGCACCGTCTGCTCCTTGCCCTCCCCCATTCCTCCTCCTCTTCCCCCCCACGATCTCCTCATCAGCCCCCCTCATTCCCCTCCTCCCCCTCCCCTCCTCTTCCCCCTCCTCCTCCACCTCCCCCCCCTTCCTCCTCCACCTCCCCCCCCTATCCCCCCCCTCCTCATCCTCCTCCCCCCTCCTCATCTCCTCATCCTCGCCTTCCTCATCATCCTCTTCTTCCTGCTCCCCTTCCTCCTCCCCTCCTCCTCCTCCTCCTCCTCCTTCTCCTCCTCCTCCTGCTCTCCCTCCTCCATCGCCCCTCCTCCTCCTGCTGCTGCTCCTCGTCCTCTCCCTTCCCGTCTCCCGCTCCCCAGACCTCTCCTTCACCCCCTCTCCTCTCCTCCTTCCTTTCGCCTCTCTTTCTCCTCCGCCTCCTCTCTTTTCTTATTATTTTCCCATCTGCCTCCTCGTCCTCTCCCGTTCTCCTTATCCTCATCCCAAGGCTCGCCATCCTTCTTCAAACATTTTGGCATGCCACGATAATCACTTCATAAAGCTGTCGTAGTCGATCGTGCACGCATCATTTGCAGAGCAGGCCACCCAGGGGTGCTGCAAGCACTCCTCCAAAGACAGCCGCCTGTCTGGATCCTTCTCCAACATGCTCGCCAAGAGGTCCTTCGCCTCCTCGGAGACATGCTCAAGGGGGTGGGTCAGGTAGTCCGAATGGATTATTTCGTGCTCACCTTTGAACGGGAGTTTTCCTGTCAGGCATGTGTACAGCACGACCCCCGCTGACCACACGTCGACCTTTGGGCAGAAACTCTCTGGCGCCGTCGGCAGAGTCTCCAACCTGCCAGTGCCGGCCTCGCCCGCCGTGCCCGTGGACCAAAAGAATGCAGTATCTGCCACTGGTGCCGAACCGCCTGCGCTGATTGCGCCACCCATCTTCGCCAGGGCGACCTCCGGTGCCATGATCGACGGGGTGCCAACCACTGTCTTGAGGGGCCCAGTGCTCACGCACTTGGCAACACCGAAGTCGACAAGCTTGACTTCGCTGTCGAGCGTGACCACGTCGCCGGAGACGAGGACGTTCTCGGGCTTGAGGTCTCTGTGGATCACGCCCCTGCCGTGGACGTGTGCGAGGCCGTCCAGGACCTGCAGGAAGACGTGGTTCGCGATGGGCTCGGGCATGGGCCCGTTCAGCGCGACGTGCTCCGCCAGTTCCCGCGCATCCTCCACGACCTGAGGGGCAGTGATCGGGTCGGGCGAAAGGGAGGGATAGCAAAGGGGGGTTTGAGAATCAGCTCACGTAGCTCCCGGCGCCGGGAGGCGGCCATGTATCGAGGAATGGGCCCCTCTGTGGGGCCGAAACCAGCTGCATGCAGCAGATTTCGTAGCCCCCCCTTTCCCAATCCCCCCCTTTCGTCCGGCCCGAAATGATCGGGGGGAACCGGCTCCTGGGAGGCAGCATCCACCTGCACTCGGCGACGTGTCGCGGACGAGTTGGCAGCAGGCCCCGGGTAGCAAATCCGCAGGCTCGTGGGCGGGGCGGGGCTGGCGGGCCGCCATCGGCGATCCATGGACGAGTGGGGTTCGATGCGTACCACCCCCTGAGCCCCCCCCCCCCACTAGAGCCCTCGATACCTCCCCCTCTTCGTCTCTGATCGTGCTCCCTCTGGGTGGTTTATCTTCTTGCCCTGCCACGTGTACTTGGCGCAGCGCTTGAAACATAACGAACAGACATCAGGGAAACAGAGGGCGAGTATTCCCAGTATCTCCTCATATTTTCTGTTTTTTGATCTTCCCCCCCACGTCCCGTATTTTCCAATATTCTCTGGGGAATCTACGATTCATTGTGTCTGTGTGTTCTTGTTCCCCCCTGAGAGAGGGTGCGAGAGGGTTGCCCTCGACGCCTCCATCACCAGAAACTTGTACTTGGGGAAGTCCCTGCGCGCGCCCGCCTCGGCGAAGACGTCGGCGGTGGCCAGCAGGCCCGCCAGGTTGGGGTGGTGGCCCATCCTTACAGGGGCCCAGGGGCACACGCAGAAATAGACACACGTCCCAGGATCCCCCATCTTTTCCCACATCTTCTGGGCTTCCATCTTCCCCCCTCCACTTCCCATACTTTCCCATGTCTTCCCGGGAGTCGACGATTCATGGTGTCTGTGTGAGTTTTCCCCTCCTGAATCCTCCGCAGCATGGCGAACTCCCTGTCGATGGACGCGAGGCTCTCCTGCCCGCCCTCCTCGAGGATGAGCCGCCAGGTCGGGATGGCCTTCACGGCCACCCTGCGGCCGCTGGCGACCGCCTGCCCCAGGTAGACGGTGCCCTGGGCGCCGGAGCCCAGCACCTGGGTCGTGAAGATCTCGAACTCCTCGCCCTCGGAGGACCTGGTCGCGGAGGGGGGCCGCCAGGGACGGCGGCGGCCCTGTCTGGCGTTGGCCTCCTGGAGGCCTCCTCCTCCTCCTCCTCCTCCTCCTCCTCCTCCTTCCCCCTCTCCTCCTCCTCTGCCTCTTCTCCTTCTCATCCTCCTCCTCCTGCTCCTCCTCCTCCTCCTCCCCCTCCTCCTTTTTCTTTCTACCGCATGCCGCCAGCGGTCTTCTACCCGCCGCGGGCCCCCCGGGCAGACACGGGAAGGCTCTAAGGGTATAATATATATTATATATAATATATATACAATATATATATATATATATATATATATATATATGTATATATATATATATATAGGGCTGTCCCCGGCGGTCTGCCAACAACTCAGCGCCCCTCGCAGCCCGCCCGTGGGACGACCCATGGCGCGGGACATGCGGGGAGTGCGCTGGACGCCCGCCGGGGGCTGCGCCTCCTCCTCCTCCTCCTCCTCCTCCTCCCTCTTTTCCTCTCCCCCCCTCCTCCTTCCTCCTCCTCCTCGTCCTTCTCCTCCTCCTCCTTCCCTGCTCCTCCTCTCCTCTCCTCCTCTCTCTTCCTTCCTCTCCTCCCTCCTCCTCCTCCTCCTCCTCCTCCTCCGCCTCCTCCTCCTCCTGTGGCCCGTTCCAGAGACCCTGGACCCCCCAAATAGTGCCGTCTCTTGGGGGCCCATATGCTACGTCCGCGGGCTTCCGCCGCCCTTCCGCCGCCTTCCGCCGAGGAAGCGGTGACGAGTCTTTCGATCCTGGAAGGCGAGGCCCTGTCTGGAACGCCTTGAAGATCAGGATGAAGTGGGTAGAGCGCGTTTCTAGTTTTGGGGCCAGGGGGGGTTTAATGTAACGCCTTCCCCCCGCCGAGCGCACGGCGGCAGTGCTGGGAGCTATAATGCCGATTATGCCCCAAGCAATGAAGACACACGTTCGTGTTCGTCAACGGGGGGGGGGGGGAGAAATGCACACCCGTCGTGCACCTTCTGGGGGCCCGCGGTGGCAGTTCAGGGGCTGCCCAGGGCTCCGTTCAGGGCAACTTTCCGGCCGTGCCCTTGCAGTCCCTCCTCCTCCTCCTCCAACTCCTCCAACTCCTCCTCCTCCTCCTCCTCCTCCTCCTCCCTCCTCCTCCTCCTCCTCTCCTCCTCATCCTCCAACCTCCTCCTCCTCCTCCTCCTCCTCCTCCTCCTCCTCCTCCTGCTCCTGCTCCTCCTCTCTCCTCCTCCTCCTCTCCTCCTCCTCCTCCTCCTCCTCCTCCTCCTCCTCCTCCTCCTCCTCCCTCCCCCCCCCCCCCCTCCCCCTCTCCTCCTCTACCCCCCTCGCTTTTTGCGCTCTGTTGCCGTCCGCCCGCACGCACCACAGTTTCTGAGCGGACCCGGGCCGGGCGGGAGAGCCGCCGCGGCCTCCACGTACCCCCCCTCCGGTGGCTGGCGGCGCGCGCAGCACCAGGATCGGACGCCGCGCACAGGAATCGCAACAGCATCGCGAACAATCATATATAATATTTCCATTTTAAAACCGAAAAGCAACAAAACAAACAAACAAACTACTACTGCGGATGAAACAATAAACACTTGTGTAAACGATCGAGACATTCAAATCGAAGAAAGAAATCAATGCAAAGCATACGTTAATGTCTTCGATTCGAAAGATTTTACTGCCTGGAGCCCAACTCTCTGCGGCATTCTCCGAGCCGGACCGATCTGTCGTGGTCTCTGGCCCGAAGGCGCCCGCTGTGACTCTTCTCATGTCGGCGCAAGGTGGGAGGGGACGAGTTTGAACAACTTGCAGCGCCAGGATCCCCGGGCAGGCTGCATGGCGAGGGGAGGCGGCCCTCTGAGGTCACAAAACTCTCGGAAGGAATCGGCCGCTTCTGGGAGGCTTTTCGAGGGGCTTCTCCGAAGACTCGGCCGCACGCTAACATGGATTACGGATCTGCGGACCTGGCACGTAGGCGCCAGACCCACGGATCGGGAAAAGGTATCCCCCGATATAGTAGGAGATCGACAAGAAACCGTCGACAAGAAACCCAACCCTGAGACTCCAGGTCGTTCATTCCCAACCATCCTGTGGTGTTGGGTCCTCGCTTTGAAGAGACGGCCCCCGCGTTCCTTCCCTCCTTCCTTCCTCCCTTCCTCCTACCCGCCCTCACTCCCCCCTTCTCTCATCATTTGCATCATCATCAACATCATCAGCATCATCGTTATCATCGTCATCATCACCATCATCGCCATCATCATCGCCGTTATCGTCAACATCATCGACCCCAATTTCGGCACACCCCTCACACGTTGCGTGGTCCCATAGGGGGCTCCAACGAAGGCCCCAGTGCCACCGTCCACATGTGTCCCCCACACCCATTTCGGCAAACCCTTCACACGCTTCGTGGCCCCATAGGGAGATCCACCGAAGGCCCGAGTGCCAACGGTCACATGCGTCCCGCACACACATTTCGGCACACCCCTCACACGCTCCGTGGCACCATAGAGAGCTCCACCGAAGGCCCCAGTGCCACCGTCCACATGCGTCCCCCACACCCATGTCGACACACCCCTCACGCGTTTCGTAGCCCCAGAGGGAGCTCCAGCGAAGCCCCCAGTGTCACCGTCCACATACGTCCCCCACACCCATTTCGGCACCGCCCTCACACGCTTCGTGACCCCATAGGGAGCTCCAACGAAGGCCCCAGGGCCACCGTCCACATTCGTCCCCCACGCCCATTTCGGCAAACCCCTCACACGCTTCGTGAACCCCAGAGGGAGCTCCAACGAAGGCCCCAGTGCCACCCGTCCACATGCGTCCCCCGCATCCATTTCAGCATACCCCTCACACGTTTCGTGGCCTCCCTAGGGAGCTCCAACGAAGGCCCCAGTGCCACCGTCCACATACGTCCCGCACACCGATTTCGGCATACCCCTCACACGCTTCGTGGCCCCTATGGAGTTCCAACGAAGGCCCCAGTGCCACCGTCCACACCCCAATGCCACCGTCCACATGCGTCCCCCACACTCGTTTTGGCACCCCCTCTCACGCGCTCCGTGGCCCCATAGAGCTCCTGCGAAGGCCCCAGTGTCACCATCCACATGCGTCACCCGAACACATTTCCGCACCCCTCTCACACGTTTCGTGACCCTATAGGGAGATCCACCGAATGCGCAATGCCAACGCCCGCATGCGTCACCCACATCCATTTCGGCACCGCCCCCCTCACACGTTTCGTGGCCCCATAGGGAGTTCCACCGAAAGCCCCAATGCCACCGTCCACATGCGTCCGCCGCACCCATTCGGCACACCCCTCACAGGGTTCGTGGCCCCATAGGGGGCGCCACCAAAGAAGGTGTTCACAATTGCAGTACCCACAGCTGCACATGGTTGGCCCCCCCCCCACTGCCAGGCTAATTGATTTTTGGTGTGGGAACGTCACGCTTTCCATCGCACCACCATCGAGACCCAAGAAATCAGGGCACCCTGGAGGCAAGCAGGGTGTTCCTTGGCATGGGTTTCACTGTACAGCCACTGCCGCCTCATTTGGCCACGCGGCGCGCCGACTCCGCCTGGAAGCGGGGCCCGTCGCTAATCCACGCGCCTCGCGGAGCCCACACCTGCGCTTCCTCGGAGAACGGGGGGGGGGTCCTGAGAGGCGCGGTGCTTTCTGAAAGGCAGCACCCTCCCAGGGTCCAACCCTGGCACGCCCTCCATCGGGCGGCGCGTGGCGCGAACGATTTCGCGCTCTCGCGCCGCCCGCCCCATGGGGGGAACGAGGAGGACGGGGAGACGAAGAGAATGCGGACGAGTAGGAGGAGGACGAAGGATGAGGAGAAGGGAGGGGGGAGGATGAGGAGGAGGAGGAGAAGGAGGAGGATGAGGAGGAGGGGGAGGAGGAGGAGAAGGAGGGATGAGGTGGAGGAGAGGAGGAGGAGGAGAAGGAGGAGGAGGGGAGGAGGAGGAGGAGGAGGAGGAGGAGGAGGAGGAGGAGGAGGAGGAGGAGGAGGAGGAGGAGGGATGATGATGATGATGATGAGGAGGCGGAAGAGGAGGAGGAGGAGCAGGAGGAACAGGATGAGGATGAGGAGGAGGAGGAGGTGGAGGACGAGGAGGAGGTGGAGGACGAGGAGGATGAGGAGGAGGATGAGGAGGACCAGAAGACGGAGCAGGAGGCGGAACATTAGGAGGAGGAGGAGCATTAGGAGGAGGAGGGGGAGGAGCAGGAGGAGGAGGAGGAGGCAGAGGAGGAGGCGGGATGGCATGGACAATGATGACGATGATGATGCTGATTATACTGGTGATGTTGATGGCCATGACGATGATGCTGCTGAGGATGCTGATGCTGGTGATGATGCCGGTGCATCTGATTATGATGATGTTGTTGGTGGATGCTGATGATGATGATAGTAATGCTGATGGTGATGGCGGTGCTACATATTATGATGCCGATGCGGCTAACGGTACTGATTATGATGATCATCGTGGTGCTGATGCTGATGCTGACGATTCTGGTGCTGACGGTGAAAGGTATTGGTGATGACGGTAAGGCTAATACTGCTGCTGCTGCTGCTGATGATGTTAATGTTGCTGATGCTGAACATGAAGATGCTACTGATGATGATGCTCGATACGGCGACAATGCAGATGCTGATGACGATGCGAATGATGAAGGATCTGATGATCATGATGATGACGAAGATAGTGTTGTCGATGATGCTGCTGTTGATTATGAACATGATGATGGTGCTGGTGATGATGATGACGCTGTTGTCTTTAACGCTGGTGGCGATGACTGTGATGCTGACGACGATGATGACGACGACACGTATGATTATGATTGTGCGTATGCTGCTGATGGTAATGAGGATGCTGATGCTGATGCTGATGCTGATGCTGATGCTGATTCCGATGCTGATGATGATTATGATGATGATAATGCCGATGCCGATGATGATGCTGATGATGATGATGATGCTGATTTTGATGATGCTCATGATGACTATGATGCTGCTGCTGCTGATCATGATGCTGATGATGCTGATGATGATGATGATGGTGACGATGACGATGCTGAGAATTATGATGCTGATGATGTGATGATGATACCGATGACGACGTCGCTGATGCTGATGATGATGAGGGGAGGAAC